TTTATTATTATAATATTATATTATTATATTGTATATAATTTAGTAGATTTGTTATAATATATAATAGATTATAATAATATTATTGGTAATATAATAATTATTTTTATGGCTAAGACCCGCAAATTTACAATTGTGTAGCAATTGCATAAGAAAAAGTCTCTTGCCCCTGTTTCTAGGGGAGAAAACAAAAGAGTAATCCTCTGTTACGGTGTATGTTAGTATAAAAAACCCACATTTTTATAGTATTTTATAGTGACACACTGACCGAGTGTGCCCATGGGCTAACTCGGTAAATGCTGGTGACAAGTGGTGTCAGGCAGCCTCTCATCACAGCACTCCTTAGGTTGAAAGAGAAGAAACTTAACAAGAATGGGAGATGAACTCCTACATACCCCGCAGTCGTTGGCACCATCACCACACATACCCACGTAGTAACTGAGAGAGGAAGAGGAAGGAAAACATATAAGCCTTGCACATAGCTGACCCCGTGGTGGAGCAGCCGCTGGCTTAGCACTTGTGGGGACATCAGAGCCCTGGAGAAGGTGGTGGCTGTTTCCAGAGGGCAAGTTGCATATGGGGAAAGAATGGGGCAGAGTGCACCAGGCAAAATTAGGATTAAATTTTGAAAGAGGCTGTAATGGGAAAGGGAACACTGCGACTTTTTTCCAGACAGTGTTTTCTCTGTGGTACCAGGAGCCATGGAAAGGGAGCAGGATGTGCACACTTGCAGCAGCTCCTGCAGCTGCAGCTTGGCTTTTACCAGCATTTTCTCCTCAATTTTCTTTGTAGGCACAAAGGCACAAAAATTGCTGAAATAATACAGCACCTCCCAAACCACCACACATGAGGTCCCTCTGAGAGGGCAGGGAACTTCATCCCCAGAGGAAGCACTTCATAATCAGTAATTAACTCTTTCAGAAAGATATCACATCTTGTTTATGCTTAGCAAGCAATATCCATGGTTAGCGTGAGTCCTGTTTGGGGGAGGAAACATTCCTTTGGGGGACCTGAAGGAGCATCTTTGGGGTCAAACTGCCAGCTGCATCAGGTTGTTTTCAACTTTGCTCAAGCTGCAGCCAGGAAAGCACCAGCAGCCTTGCAGGAGGTGCTGGGGGTGGGAGCTATTTGTATATGCGGGGCTCTGCCTCTGTATTTTTATCTCAGCCTTATTTAATGCTGCCTTCTGTACCGCAGCAGTGAGAAGCTGCAGGTAAGTCTGGGCGAGGGGTACGGGTACTTCTGATGCAGAGTGATCTCTGTAGGGGAACTGGGAGGAAGGTGGCCACAAAGGATGTGAACAGGAGTCAAGGGCAGGAAAGATGAGCCTGGAGCAGTGCTAACTGGGACAATTACACTTCAAAGAAAGCTTGTTATTGGTTTGGTTCAAGAAGAAAAAAAAAAAAAAAAAAAAAAAGAGAGAGAAACTTACTTAAGTTTCTGAAACTCTTCAACGAGGCTGGACTTCTGGCCAGGAGACATCCTAGCAAAGACAGTCGCATTCACCGGTATCTGCAAGAAAGAACAACAGGATGCCTTGGGCAGTCATTTGTGCCTCCATCGCTCCACCAAGGCAGGATCAGGCCTTCCTAATGGGTGCCTGACACATTCGTAAGACCCTCTAATCTTATCTCCCAAGCTCTACCATGGTTTTGCTACCCTTAGGGTTTGGGTTTCCTCTGACATGAGATTTCTCCCGCTCTGTTTTCTGCCTTGCCTGTTCTCTAGGAGGTGCTGGGAAGCCAGCGCTCACCATGTGCTCTGCAGCAGCCTCTAGAGCAGCAAGGCATTACAAGCATTTCCCAAGTGCAGAACAGATGGTTGATGACAGCAGCAATAACACTGCTCAGTCTGAGGTTTCTCCTACCTGAAAATCTGTCCAGAGAGTATAAAATCTGAAAATTTGTCCCAGCACCAGCTATTTTATGGACTAGGGGATGGGAGTTGAAGATTTCTGCTGCTAGATATGGGTATTTAGTGTTCCTGACGCCCCTGCTGAGCAGAAGGCATTGCCAGCTATGGTAGTGGTACATGGGAATGGGGTTGATGTTTTTAATTAAACTCAAATTGAGAAGGCGACCACAGAGTAACTCCACTGCACTGCTGCTCGCAGCACCACAGCCACCCCTGTCATTTGAGGTCTTAGAAGATGTTGAGAGCAAGCTGTTTGGGCTAAACCTGAGGCATGGTGGAAGGCTGCCCAGAGCTGTCAAAATGTGAAGTGACAATGCTACAGCTACTGACAGAAAAACACCTTTCTCCAGCTGGAACACCACTGCCGCTTAATAAAACAGGGAGGGCAAGTAAGTACTTTGTTTCCTCTGAACTTACTTTTGGCAGCAAATTGTAGAAATGCTTTACAATAACCTGATAGGACTTTCCATTCATTGCAAAATGGTAGTTGCAGGTTTCTCCTTCCAAGGTGATCTTTTCCTCAGTATTAGCATATAGCTCCTAGAAATAAGACAGCATTTATCCTCAGACTGAGGTCATAACATGCCATTTCACTTCCACCCCATCAGCCTCCCACCAGGCAACCAGGGACGCAGCCTTCTGCAGCATCCTTTTGTAAAAGTTTACACCTGGCAGTACTTGATTTTCTGGCTGTGTTTCACACATAACTAATCCCTGTTAATGCAGGCTGCTAGTTTAGACACTGAAGTTTGGTCCAGCAATAGTCACACAGACAAATATGTATAATGGCATTAATTCTGCATACTTCAAGCATGATTGAAGTGGCCACTGCATCTGCAAAGCCTTGCTAGTTATTTGTGTAGGTATTTTGCATGTTGCTCTGAACAAAGAGCCACTGTATTAATTATTTCTCCCTAACAGGTGCATGGTCCATACCACACCTCCATATACCCTGGGGTAGATACAGAACTAGCCCTCACATTTCCTCTAGAGCTACTTCCAAATCCTTAGCAAGTAGTCCAGGCCTAAGGAGCCTGGGCATTAGACATTAAAAGCTTTGTTAATTCCCCCTGGCACCTGAAAGCAACCATCCCTGGCTGTGCTTACATGGTGAGCAGCTGTGTTTGCTTTGCTGTCTTCTGCCAGCTGCCAGGCAACGGAAGCTGGAGCAGAGCCCTCCGGTTCATTTGCTTCAATGAGGATGACTTTACTGCCCATGTGAATCATACCTGCATTCCTGGCCACTGTGACAGCTGTCTGTAAGTTGTCCCCTGCAAGTATAGTGGAGAGACAGGTTCCTCACCTCTGCCATAGCACACTGGCAGCCCAATAGAGACCACGGACATGCAATGGAGGATGCCAGAGGAGCAAATCTCTCTCTTGCTGAACTTACGGCACAGCAAGTTGGGCAACAACCCTGCGGCAGCCAGCTTGGCCACAGAGGAGCCTGGGGGATTCACCTGTGACCATGACGCTCCTGATGCGGGCAGCAGCCAGCTCTTGTAGCACAGGCTTGGTCTCCTGCTTCAGGCGGTTCTCCATCACCAGGAG